TGTGTGCGTGCGTGTGCGTGCGTGCGTGCGTGCGTGCGTGTGTGTGTGTGTGACATACAGTCAGTGAAATCCTGATGATTGTGAATGCCTTGCAGGACAGGTCGCGTGGATGTAGCTCTAGTGCTCTAACCCCTTATTACCACAGGCCTGTGGCAACAAGGGCCATATAGCTACAGTACTAGTACTAGAGCTAGCGTGCATGATGCTACACGTAGTATTTTAAGAGATAAAGAAAGAACACAATCCGAGGGATGCACTCATCATGTCAAGTGAGATTCCACAGCACTAAAACTTCAACTCCATGCCACCAACTTCAGCCACCCACTTCATGGCAATGTCTATTATTATTTCACGAAGCGTAGAAGACGTTCAAAGCAAACATGTACTCACACAGCTACCCTAACATAAACGCACAATAAAAAAAAACAAGGTTATTCTATCCATCAACGATCTAGGCCAATATGGAAGTGATAACATCTGATATTCTGAATCTATTCATATTTTCACATAGCCGCCGTGGAACAGTTGTACGAATCAAATTCGGTTACAGCGTTCATGCAACGATCGCCCTCGAATTGGCAAAAGTTAATTCGGGACAGTGACATCCAAGCTATGCTAGATGAAGCAGATGATTAGCTGTGATCCCCGTGCAGTGAACCCACGCATTTCCCCAACAGAAGCTTATACTACCTATAGTTAGTATATCGGCCCGTTGCTAATGCGAAACATCGCATTCACGGAGAGGTGAGAGATTTCATGCACCCTGCACTGATTCGCATTTGTGCCGGCAAATATCTGTAGCCTGGAAATGTTCATCCTGGTGAACTTCCTCGCACTGGCAGTGTTCATTCGAGGTGACCACAACAACGCGACCGATAGGTCAGGCCATCCTTAAAAAATTATATGTTTGCTGTCCTCCGACCGACCCACGAAAATAGCCGCGACCCAAAAGTTTTTTGTTACATTTTTAGTTCCTTTTTTTTTTACATTCTTTATAGTTAGGACTGACACACAAAGCACGTGTGGCAAACATGAGGACAGACTTAAAACTAGACAGAGGGCACTCATCGACCACTGATACCTCCGCGGCGGGTAACATGTCATACATGCTGTATAAACAGCTTGGCTCGCTGCTGGCTGCTGCTGACTGGACGCCCTAAGGCGAGCTAGTGCTGAATCGATCGCGCCAACCATTGTTGTTGTTGTTGCTGTTGCCGCTGTCGTTGTCGTCATACTTGTCGTCGTTACCATTTTAGTTACTTGCTTGTTTGCATGGCAGAAATCCCTTTCCCCCATGTGCACCATCTAAGATCAGAAAATCTATCCAACTACTGTCCCCCTTCTCAAAATTTATACTGACCGTCCCGAAACTGGGTGCCAGTGAACCCACTTGACCCTTAGATCATCACTTGGCCCCCAGGCTGTGTACGTGGTGGACACTGCCGCTAATGCTAGGCAGTAACTAACTAATACTTGCAGCTAAATGCAAATCACTGCCTCAAGCACGCACATCCGATGTGTGTGTGTGTGTGTTTCTCTAACGATGCCCTGCTACCTGTGAATTCACTCACTACCGGTACTTACAGATCTGCTAGCGAATAGTGACTGGAGGGCATGTAACCGAATAAAACGCCAGTTAATCAAATACATGAACGGAGTTACACAGAATATAAAACGACGCCCTCTCTATAAAAGAAATAGCCAGTCTTTAAAATATTTTTCGGCAGTTTCGCCAGTAGCAATATCAGTAGCCCGACCTGAGATTCTAAGACTGTTTCACGTCATAGGACCTTCTCACCACGAAGTGAGAAGCGGGAAGGCACCTTGTGGCTACGATATCGGTAACAATATATTACAAACGGAAACGTGGAAGCAACGTATGGCATATACTGTACTATTTGATAACTTCAACGAATTACGTTGCAACAGAATTCTAAGAAGTAACAGTGCAGGGAACCCCGAACCCCTTCTCATTCGCCGGACCGCAGACTCCTCTTTCGATAGTACCAAGAACTAATGATACATGTACAACTAGCTGTAGCTGTACAAGTGCAATTAGATGTATTTTTAGCTCTTGATAGTATAGCATAGTATAGTACCTAGATACATCCCAGCATCAGCCACACCAACGATCTCTATATACATCAGACAGACATCCGAAAACTCGGTAACAGTGCCCTTTAAACTGCCTAGCAGTGCGATCTTGCAGTGCAAGTGTTGGAGGTTGACTAGTACAGTAATGGTCTCACCAGGGGGCGCATGTATCATGTGTCTGCTATACGCATAAAGGACACCTCTGTCGGCACCCCCGCTAACAGCAACCACACGGCTACGTCAACACCATCAATGACTAGTAATTACTACTGACAGTCAGTCTAGCTCGTTAGTGAAAACATCAGCTTCCTGCAATGCTGATGGGATTCCAAGGGAGCTACTATGTACACATGGCTATATATGTATA